ATCTGTAGTGTGAACCAATGTTGGGCACTGCTGCATCACTGTAAGAAATGCATCACGCACATCAAGGCTGACCAAAACACTGTTGCTATGCTCACGCATTTGCAAAAACAACGTAGGAAGCACACGAGAGATGATACTCCCACTGGCTGGTGAAAACAGCGACTCTCGCTCTGGCTGCAGCCAGGCAAATTCTCTGGCTACAAACCTCGATCTTCTCAGCCAGATATGTGATCCATCGTCAGCTCTTTTCTCTCTCCAGGTACGTACAAACCTCGTGCTCAACACTTTCGAATCTGCAGGTATGTTGCTGGGATCCTGCAGAACACTGAGCTTTGAAAGTCGATGTAACTCCACCTGATCTGCTAACATGTCAAGGCGTTTCAACTCATCGTCAGAGAGTTCGGGCTCACTGGAAGAAAATGGATAGCTGAGCTCTTTCAAGGCACTCTTGATGTCAAGGCTCTCACATGCAAAATTGTCATCTTGCAGCAACCATTCATCGTCGTAAAATTCCAGTTCATATTGCTCAAGCTTGTCCAAATCATCCTGCTCAAAGTGGGGGCAAACTGCATCGTCCTCATGCTCATACAAGGAGAGGTCTGTACTTGTAACCTGATTCATCACCTGCTGTCGTGGTGAGCTTTCCAGTCGTGGTGTTTTAGGAGAGCGCTCACCAGCATCCAACATGCTATCATCTGGAGTGACAGGTTGCTCCTCACCTGTCTTCAAACGTTTTGCACTTTCATCTTCAACTGCAGCATTGGTGTCCAGCCTCTTTTGCCCACCAGATGGTGATGAGGTTTCAACTTGAATTTCTTGAGACTCAGCTTGGCTAGCTGGTGGCCCCGCCTGTGTCTCATGTTGAGGCTCAACATCCTCCAGGGGATTCTCTGCCGCATACTGCTGGACTTGGATTGCTTCCACATCAATTGCACAAGGAGGAAGGCCAGAACCAACACCAAACGCAAGAGGAGGAGAGAGTTGTTTGCTGTAAACCAAACGGTGCCCCAACGCAGCGTAGCCATAGTCCCATGGACAAGCCACAACTTCACCAAGTTCTTCCAAAACAAAAACTGTAGGAAGACGTCTGATGCTGCGCGTGACGAACACATTGTTGCCCTGTGCTATGATGTGGGTTTCATTTGTCAATGACTTCCCAAGCCAAATGCCTTTCTGCCACCTTGCAGCTGCTTTTCTGTCAGTCTTCAAAAAGCCCAACACGCACTCACCAAACATGGCCAATTTTCCAGTGTACATTCTGTCTGTTGATCTCTCAAACGCAGTGCTACCAGCTGTAACCACAAACCTGTTGTAAACCCAGCAAGCGTGAAGTAAGGCCCAAGCAAAAAGTGGGTGGCTGCATGGAAAGATCGTTTTGCCACCGGCGCACTGGTTCTCAATCTGCTGGACCCACATTCCTGCACGCAACCTGATGTGTTGTAGTGTGGCTTCAGCTGCACCATTTGACTCATGTGAACCAACAGGCACTGGTTCATGATGGACTGTGATGCCCAAACCTCTGCAAGTTTTGCGCGCTGCATCCAAGATGGCCAAGTTTGATGGCTCCAGGTCAGAGCGCAATGCCAACTCACGATGCCCTGTATGCATGATGACCCTCACAAACTCTGTTACCAAATACTGCAAAGACTTTCCACCCTTTTGCAACGTAGGCACAACATGCACCAACTGCGTGTCACGGTCTTTCAAGACCAAGCATGTGAGCCTGTCAGCTCCACCAGGCATCCTTGAGCAGTATCCAAAGTCATAGGACAAAACGCTGTGACCTGAATGTGAATGATCTGAGGCAACATGTTTGTCTTGGCGCGCTCGATACATAGTGCAAACCTCACACCACTCTTTGAAGGGCTCGTGGGTGAGATTGTGGTTGTCAATCTCAACTTGTGTTGGAACACTTGGAATCTTTTGGCCTCTGACTTCACGTTCTGCCTCAGCCTTCAATCTCACCTCTGCGCTGTGGGCTGCCAGCAAAGTTTGAGTCTGCACATGATCTAACATACGCTTCATGCAGGTTTGCTTGCTGCCACGCTTTGACAAACCAAGTGACTCACATCCAGCACGCAGAGCTCTGAGAGTGCTGTCCAATGTAAGCGCAACACCATCAATGTAAACCGTGGCCTCATCAGGGCCCCGAAGGACAACCCGGTCTTCGGCCAATGGTTCACCTTCATCACAATCCACTGGAGCTTCTTCAGGCAAATCTGCAAGGATGCTCTGTTCATACCCCTCACTGGCAACATCAGCTTGACTCTCACCAACGTTTTCACCATCACCCACTGACTGTGCAACGTTTGCAGACTGTCCTTCAACATTCAGTCCATAGTCTGGCATGTAAAAACCCAGATTCTGTGCTGGCATGGCATACTTGTGCGCAATGGTGATGACTTCCAAAACGCTGGATGGAAAATGAAACTCAGCTTCAAGCCCTTCATGCAGGCCTGCAATAGCCTCGCAGAACTCATCAACTTCCCATCCTGAACCTTCACGACACACCAATGTCGTTCTCAACTACATCAACTCATCACTTGGCACAACTGTAGTGTCCACATGTTTTGGAGCTGTTGTTTTGATTGCAAACATCTGTGGATTCAAACGGTTCCATCCTGCAGCCAACGTCCTGAGAACAATGCCAGGCTGCACAACTCGAATTGCTTGAATGGACTCCTCTGGTTCCACCTCACAAATCATTGAAATAGAACCTCGAGCACAAAGTGAGTTGTTTCGATACAACACATTGATGCAATGACCATCTTGCATCAAGCAAGGCCCATGTTCCTGCTGCACCAAACTCCAACCAGATCTGATGATGTGGCCCAAAGCTATAAGAGGTGTTGTGACATCAGCTACAATGAACTTTTCACGAAAAATGACATCTCCAAACTGCACTGTTGCAAGTCGCGTTGACTCAACTGCTAAAGGACTACCCTGAGCATCAACAAACGTTGTATTGGGGCTTGGACAGGCTGTTCCAACTCCACTGAAACGCAATGGCAAAGCGCTGGTATCAGCACCAGAATCAAGTATCACATCACAAGGCGTGGAAGACTGATGTGGCAACATTTGACACGACTCGAACGTGGCCATGAATGCAACTGCAAATTGAATCGTCACTGCAACAAGTCTCAAGCAAAGTAAGGTCAGGGCTGATCGTCCAGTTCATGTCACTGTCAGTGCTAGACATGTCAAACTGGTCACAACTTGAAATCATGCACAACTGAAAAGGGCTAGACGAGCTTGAAGGCAATGAAAAAACCGTAAGATCTTCAACCAAGCCATGAGCATGTGAAGTGTCAGCTATTGAAACCATTCTGACCGAAGCTGCAGCAGTTGAGGCTGTGGCGCTGCTGTAAGTTGTATCAGTTTTGGAATCACCGACATCTTCAACAACACGCACTTGCTTGTTCTGCTGATCTGACTTCTTTTTCAAACAGTCTCTCTGCCAATGCCCATACTTTCCACAGTACGCACAAACGTTTGAGTCTAGCTTGGCTCCAGACTGACCCTTCTGGGAGCCTTTGGAACTGTCTCCAGCACCCTTGCTGCTGGACTTGCCTTTGCCCTTGTCAAACTGCTTGCCCTTTGGCTTACCTTTGTCAAAACCCGATTTGCCCTTCGATTTGCCTTTGTCAGACTGTTGCTTACCTTTCCACTTGCCCTTGCCTTTGATCATGTTGATCTCCATTGGTGCTGAAGCGCCTCCATCGTTTGCGTAGGAACTGACCGCCCCTAGAGGAGCAATTCCAGCATCTGCAAGAACCCTGTCTTTAGTCCAAGTTGAGGAAACCCTTTCATAGGCCAAGACCCTGTCCTTCACCTGTGCAAATGAACTCTGCTCATCCATGGACAACTGAATATGCTGTTGAATATGGCGTGGAAGAACACGTATCAAAGTTGAAAGAAGGATATCATCATTGATCTCTTGTCCACTGGCTTTCCTATACTCTTCTGACAGCCTTTCCATGTTCTGAATCTGCTCCAAGCATGTACGCTCTTTTGTGAACGCTGGCATTCCCATCAAAGCGTTGAGAAGAGCAAGCGCACGCCCTTTGGTCTTTGGCATGTAAAGTCCATGCAGTTGTCTCCATACCTCTAGTCCATTTGCGTTTCCCACTTGACGCAAGGGTTTGAGTGGTCTCTGTTTCAAAATTCCAGCTAAAATTGAATACAGTTTCCTTGAGCGCTCTTTTGAAGCTGCGCCACTGGGATTGTCCTGGTATGTCACCGGGATTGAAGGGTGATCCTCTACGTACCGAATGTCAACCTCAAAAGCAGGTTCTGCAAAGAAAAGCCATGATTTGAATGAGAAAACAAAATCACTCCACTGACTCTGATCTTCCAACGTAGTTGCATGGCCAAACTCCTTTGGACATTGAATTATTTTGTTGGCTTCTGCATAGCCACTTCCACGTTTCTCGTTTGCCTCACGTAGCGCCTGGGCAGCCTGTGAAGCTGCCAAGGCAGCTTGCTGCACTGATTGAATGAGCGTAGTTGGATCCATCTCTCAACCACCAATTTCAAAAACGTCAAGCACCACAAGCAGCAAATGAAATCTGTAAATGCCAAGCTGTGCAGTTAAAGCCAAACTGTCAAACCCTTGAACTCCAAAAACTGCCAAATGAAATCGAGTAAGGTGAAAACGCCACCAACGCCAGAATCCAGTCAAACAGCAAAGGAGCTATGGCTCTCTACAACCCTCGTGAGGTCTGGGTCCTGCCTCACCTAGTTTGGGGATTTGGGTCCTGTCCCCAGTACTGGAGTTCCCTGCGCCCAAAGGGTAGGCAGATCACGGCTCCGCTACCATGTTTATTTTCCCTTGAAAGGAAGCGCCTCAAGATCACATAGAATGAATTACTGTTGCTACTTGAAAAATGGATGCAAGAATGGCATGTGAAAACAGGTATGTCACTTGCCGTAAAAGACTTGCACGAAGGCTTCAGGAGAACACAGTGGGCCAATCTTAGCGCCCACGCGTCCTGAACGTGATGTTCGAGACGGAGCTGGTGGAGCTGCGAGGGACGTCTTTGAAAGAGCGATCCCGATTGTCGCAGATCCTGGTGGAACAGTTTCAATCGTTGATGGACAGCCTTTCACTGCGAGGCACTTGGCTGACATGGAGAAGACGACGCATGACAAGTTGGAAGATCTACGAGAGGAAGTTGCTGGTCAGAAGGCTTCCCAAAGCTCGTCAAAGAGATCCAAGTCAAGGAGGCGTTCTCGTAGCCCTTTGATGCGGCGGTCAAGGAGATTGCCAACACGTCCTCCTCGACACCCTGCAGTTGCGAGACGGCGACGTCGTGGTTCAAGATCTTCATGAAGGAGAAGGGATTCCAGGAGTCGTGTGCGGACTGTTCGGCACAGCCACTCAGTGAAGAGTTTGGCAGGTGTCTGGCCGCCCGTGAAGGCGCCTCCAGTGCGTCTTCCTCCAAGGGCAAGGAATCCATCTGGTGGCACTGGGGACCGCGCTTCGTGGAGTTGGCGTAGGGACGGAGGCGACTGTGGTAGAGCGACCTGGAATGTCCACTTGACACCTCATGAACCTCCTGGACCACCTCCTTTACATCGTCAATAACGATCTACACCTACGGGTGTGCCATTTCACGGAATTGCAGCCAGGCCTGACTTGGTGGACAGCGAAGCTTCGAATGCAGTGGTCGGCGTGTGCTTCAGCGAAGGGAACCGAGACAGAACTTTCTGGATTACAGACCCTTTGGCGGACGCCAACGAGCAGCAGGCGAATGGTCTCAGAATGGTTTGTTTTATCAAGGGCCATGTGAAGATGTCACAGATCACAAAAACTCTTGGTTTTTGCCGTTGGTGGGAAAGGACTACCAGGATCCGGAAACGTGGGGATGATGAATAAATTTTGCTGGAAGACAAAGTTCCGGCCGCGCAGTCACCGAATTCCCCTGAAACATGGATCGATGTGGTCACCTTGCTCCAACCGGACGGCGAAGGCCGCGCGTACATGAGTGCTGCAGCCGTGGGGCGTGGGACCCCGAAGTGGAGAGATCTTCGTGATGTTTTTGAAAAAAAATTGGGTCCCCAAAGAAGATGTCTGCAGCGAAGTCCAAGGCAAAGCCTCATGTTGTTTTGGCCCCATGTGTTCAAGAACTTCCCAAAGATTCAGTTGAGGTCAAAGTTGAACCTGTTGCAATCAAACTTGAACAGTTCGTCAAACATGAACATGCTGACTATGAAAGTGACGACTATTCATACGCCTATGAGAGGGCATGAGAAGATTCACCTAGTGTTGCTATGATGGCATTCGAGATTGGTTCAGATTCAGATGTTGTGGTTGAAACTGATTCACCTTCGGTCCATCCAGATGAGAGGACAACTATATCTAAGAAACATCAGGAGACTGTTTTGGATGATATTGACGCTTTGAATCAACATGACACTACAATGCAATCAAGTTTGGGGATGAGACCTTTGCAATTTCCCAGCCCTTCCCATGTAGCCATTGTGACTTCGCATCCAATCCTTTCCAGGATTCGTGTGAGAACGTCTACAACGCGGGGGTGGGTGCAGAGAACCTTGGATGGCGTTTCTGATGGGGTGGACTGGCAGCAGATCTTTGGTGGTTGTAGGTTGGTAGTCGTTGCAATTGAGTATAGAATCCCTGAAACTCGTTTGCGCCATGCTCGTATGTTGTTTGAGTTGGAAAGCTTTTGCGATGCCACAGGATGCAGTTTCTCTGGGTGGATGATGCGCAGGCTCAAAGATGGGAGGGTTATCGTACGCCACAAGTGCCATACATCAATGACCTTGGTTTGGCATACGTTTGCAACAATGATGATTTGATTTCAACGTTTGGTGACTTTTCTTCTCTTTTGGTGATGAATGATGTTTTGGTATGGGATTTTTGTCCGTGTTTGGAAGATTGGTCAACAGAACAATCAGTTGTTGATATGTCAGAATTATTCAGCATGACCCCTTTGGCAAGAATGACACGCACAAATCAGAAGTGTTGTCATGAACTGCAGTTGCATCACATGTGTGCCTGGACCTTTTACAAGCGGCTCGAATTGCCTTGTGAAAAGGTGTGATTTCGGTGTGCGCTCCGTGTTTCGACATGGCAGCGGAGCCTACGTGGCGCTGGATGGCTTCAGCAGTGGTGGTTCTGCTGTTAGCTCAACTTGCCTAAGGATGTGGCAGGAACCACTATCAATTCGAGGTGGCCGTTGGTGAACACGATTGGTGCGCCACACCACGCCACGATGTCTATGAGCCCAACTACGCGGTGATGATGGCCAAGCACTCCTACAACCTTGAGGGGGCCTTCGACCTGAGTGGATGCTCTGGTGATGGCTGCGTTGAACTTCAGGCGCTGGTTGTCTATGAGGAATTCGTGGAAACTTTGAGCTCAAATGGGTGCTCTTGGACTGGTAGGTGCTGTAATCGAAATGGTCCAGGTGGATTGGAACCGCCGTGCAAGTTGGAACCATGCAAGGGATTGGCACCTTTGCACAGGGGATTTGGAGCCCCACGGAATTGGCAATGAGGATTGGGACCTCTACCTACCACGTGCCCATTGGATCAATGCATGAGACATGGATGAGCTCTACACGCCACTGCATAGCATGTTCTTGGACTCTTATGTGCACAACATGGACGTATGACATGTTTGTCCTCTTGGCCTGTAACATCATGCATAGCCTTCTTCCTTTTCATCGTCTTTCTCGGGATCAAGTTTAATAGAATGGTGAGAAGAAGGGGATTGAAACAAAGGGTGAGCCGTTTGAGCCATTATCGTGGCCCACATGGCAAGCCTTGCAGAAGGGATGGAACTTTGGCTTCGAGATGGGTATCCTACGTGAAGATGAAGGGTCTGGTGTTCTTGCTCCTCTACACCCAGACCTCAGCCATGGATGCAGCCCAGGCAACAGGCCTTCTTGGGAGGATCATGGGGTTGTCAACGGCGGCAACGACGGCAGCCAACACAGCAAATCAGATGCTGGAGGCCTACAGTGCTGGTGGTGGAAAGGTATCTCAAACCTCCCGATTTGGAGATGGAACCAAACTTCTTCGATCCCCTGAGGTGTTCGACACTGACGACCCGGTGAAGTACACCAACTGGCGTGAGCAGTTTCTCAATTGGCTCACATTTTGTGATGGAAGGTACTCTGACCTCATCAAAGACGTGGAACAATTGGAGACGATGACAGAGATGTCAACTCTTGATGCTCCAGTGCATCGTACTCATCGTACTTGCAAAGGCCTGCATTGCAAGTGGTTCGAGCCCATGCTGACCATCGAAATGGATTTGCAGTTTGGTATCGTTTGAAGCAGCTCTACGCCCCAAGAGCTCGACCTCGAGCATTGGCCATTGGCCAGGCCATTATGCAGCATCCCAGCTTTCCTCAACAGAGATCCATGCTGGAGAACTTGCTGCAATTTGATGCGCTGCTGGGTCAGTATGAGCTTGCAGCTGGTCATCGTATGCCAGATGACTTGACAGTCAGCACTGTCTTGCGCTGCCTGGATGGACCCACGAGGAGACAGCTTGAGATGATCATGGATGAAGGGATGGACTACGCAAAGCTCAAGGACAAGTTGATCCTGCTGGACAAGAACACGAAAGCGTGGTCTGGTGACAACTTCCTGAGGAACTTGCAGGCCTTCAACCAACCTACATCCTCGAGCTCTTCCAACTACCAAGGTCCAGCCCCTATGGAAGTGGACCAGGTGCACTTTGGTGGCAAAGGGAAGAGCAAGTCCAAAGGGAAACAGAAAGGCAAAAAGGGCAGTTGGTTTGGTATGCCATATGGTGGCAAACACGGTGGAAACCAGAAGGGTGGAGGCAAAGGAAAGTCAAAGCACAAGGGAAAGAAAGGAAACAAAGGGAAGCACAAAGGAAAGCAGCAGAAAGGCGAAGGGTATGGTGGTGGAAGCAATAGCAACGTATGTCGTGTTTGTGGAGGTTATGGCCACTGGGGAAATGAATGAATGCACTATCAAGAGCAATGTCAACCAGGTGAATGGTGCTGGCAATTCTGGAGAAGTTCAAGGAGCTCACAATGATACTGCTAGCACTACAGGATCGACGAGGAGGGCAAGCACAGCTTCAACGACTTCACAGTCACTTTCATCTGGATCCATGTCTGTGCGTTTGGTCAAGATGTATCATGAGGCCGGAGGAAGGATGGAACCAACCTTATCCAAGCGCGTCTGATGATCTCTGCATGCTGAGCAAGTTCCACCACATTTCATGCTAGTCCACCCCGGGGACTCACTCCGGGGACTCATAGTGCACCAAGGTGGCAAAATGCCCCTTACGCCGCATCTGATGATATGAGCAGAAGCCGGCGCACTCACTACGGCGTCTGCCTGGTTTGCACCTGATTTCCGCCAGAATGCCACGATTGTTGTCACACTCGTCGACAGCGGCCTTGATGCTGTTGAGCACGTTCACAAACCCCGGGACTTTGATTAGGGATTGACTGATCCCAGGGACCCACCCCATGTGAATTGCCATCGCGGGCCCGTGCTGGGTCCTGCAAGTGCTCCACATCTATGATCACGCGCTTGCGGCCCTTAGGGCCCAACGGATCCTGTCCAAATCTTTTTCCCCCTGGTGACAATGACGATCGAAGCGTCTGAACTGATCGCCCTTGCAAGTTCTTGTTGAACATCATGTCGACGATGGCTGTGGAAACCTACAGTGGTCTTTGCAGTTTCGTCCAAGTCATGGCTCTGAGCGCCCTAGAACTTTTGAGATGCGTAATGTACTCCCGGGTTTGATGGGTATCAACCCTTCTGCATCAAAAGTCCAATTTTGTGGCACGTATAAACCTTCAATTGTTCACCGTTGATTGAGATAACACCATTCTCTAGGTCCTTGACTAGGCCTAACTTTGTTTGAGGATGCAATGACAAAGAAATAGACCGTTGCCTGCTGTCAACTGATGTGAATCTAAAACACCTTTGACTTGACCCTGTCCGTCTTGAACATCAACGAAAACGGGGTCTTGGTGCTTCCACTGCCAAGTCTGGGAACGTAGGCATGTCTTCGGACTCCTCATCGTCATCCTCTGCAGCCACAACTGGGTCCGCAGAAGCTGATTCAAACAAGATTATCCTCGGACGCGTCCTGAATTCCCAATCATGAAAATGTCCAGCGCCTCCATGGTAAATGTAGGATCCTGACTTTGTCTCCAAAGGCGTAGAGCCATACTGCCCCTGAACGAACTTCGATCCATTCACGGACATGGCAATCTTCCATCCCTACGGGATCGGGAGGCCCACTCAGCAGTGAGGCAAACGGCACTCTGACAGCAGCACCTTGCAGCGGCACCCTGCAGCAACCAAGCTCCAAAGCGCAAACATCACTCTGACAGCAGCACCTTGCAGCGGCACCCTGCAAGGCACCCCTGCAGCTGCACCAGCACCCCAGCTCCAAAGTGCACACAGCACTCTGACAGCAGCACCTTGCAGCGGCACCCTCCAGCGGCACCCTGCAACTGCGCCAGCAACCCAGC